GATTCCCGAGCCGCCGCGGCGGCTCCGGCCGTGCGGGGAAACCGAAAGTGGGCGGCGGCCGCGGTTGTGGCCCTGGCTGAGACGGCGACGGGAGCTGGGCCCAGAGGTGCGGGGACGGGCCGTGGGCCCCCGGGACGAGGTGAGCGCAGGTCTTGCCGCTGCGGGCGCGACAGGTGCGGGGCGACGTCGGACGAGGTTTCGGGCGGGCGCGGCGCACCTGGGTCACTAGCGGGACAGTGGCCCGGGCGGGACTCGAACGGGCCTGGGGCCTCTTCCCTGCAGTCGCAGGGGATGCCCCGGGGGGAGTTGGAGTTCCAGAGCGTTGTGTTTTAAATCTCTGATGGGACCCCTCCCCCGGCCGCTGGGTGACAGGCTGGGCGTCCACCCGGAGCCTGACAGACCCTCCCGCCGCCGGGACACTCAGTGCAACAGGGGAAATGCAGCAGTGGGGGTGTGGACGAGGGGCGGGAGAGGCTGACCAGGAAGTGGTTCCACAGCCGGTCGCCCGGAGCAGGGCATATCAGAGCCCCCGGCTGTCTGAGCTCGGTATTTTACACCGTGAGCTTTCAGTCCCTCAAAGGCACGGGCCTCTCTGTGGACCAGCCCATGCAGGCCGCTCAGGTAATGCAGGGCACAAATACTATACATGGCTCTCGAACCGTGAGCCCCAGGCCGGTATACAGCTAGGAAGGAAACATGAATTCATGAATGAGTTGTCTCTTAACTTTGATCACGATCCAACAGGGTCAGGTGCTCAGCCTCAAGTTAATGGGAGGGGGCTTGGAGCCCGCACAACTTTTCTGCTCCGTTCCGCTTGCGGGGTATAATGTATTTCCGGTTATAACCAAAGAGTACCAGTCCCAAATAGTTTCAGAGAGCGAGAAAGGGAAATACCTGTATTAGAAAAAGTACTGGCCCAAAAGGATTCTGATAACCACCCTACAAAACAAACCAAACTGCTGATCTTGGTGAACACCCCCACCCCCCATCGTGCAGGTGGAAAATTTGCAGTAAAGCGTTCTGCCGAGTGATATGCAACAACCTAATGACAGAAGCGAAACTTAGACCCAAATTTCTAAGTCATCCTCAGCTGCCTTGATGTGTGGGTGTTGCATACTGCAAATAGTGTGGGCTTTGCAGACCTGGATTGGAAATCTGGGCTTCTCCTCTTACTAATTGTGGATCGTGAATAAATTACTTTTTTTGAGCCTGGTTTTCTGTGTATCATATAGAAATGTTTAACATAATTCCACACAGCTTTTGTGAGGTAACTATTGTAAATCTTTTGGTTTATAATAATGGTCAAGAAATGTTAACTCTTTTCCTTTCCCCAAGCTTCCCATATTTTACATAATTGGATTTCCGTTTCTTGGAGTCCTCTAATATAACATTAAGTGGCATGTGGTGGGGATTTTGCCATTTCCACTTAATTGACATTTCAGAGCATCGGTTACACGCAAAGTACTGTGCTGGGTACAGAATTGCTCCTGGGTCAGCTGCATTAGAATCCACATCTCCTGTGCCCCAGCCTAGGGCCCTTTGGTGGCACACAGATTTCCTCTTTGCTAGTTAAACACAGTGAGACTGTGAGGCAGCGGTTGGCAGTGCCTTGGGACTTCAGTCCCTGTACACTGGAGATGGAACATAATCCCCGCTAATGCCCTTTTAAGTGTATTGGTTTATTGGTTGAACGTGGCTGAATGAACTACTGTGTTTTGTACCAAGAGATTTAAACTTCTTGAAGGACTTCTCTTTAAATTCTCTGTGCGAGGTAATCTAGTTGGAGACTTAATATGAATTTAAAGGAAAATACTTTATAATCCAACTCTAAGTGCCTATTCTGTGTTCAAGTGCTGTTTTCAAGAACTGAGATTTGACAGAGTGCTTTGCATCTGGGCACTTTCAGGATCAGCAGATGAATACAGTTAAGGACCCAAGTTCCTTGGTACTTGCGTGAAATGTAATTTCATACTTATGTAAATTGGTTTTTCTTTCTCTATGCAAAACTTATTTTCTCTGCCCTCTACTCCTGTCTTTGTACTTTTGAAAGATTCATTATTTGGCCAAATGTATTTTTTAAAATTTTTTCATTCAAACTATTTAAAAGGAATCAATTTTGTCATTTTTAGCTGTGATGTGTATATATGCCAATTAGAACTGCTGGTCAGCACAAGATAGCTAATGACTCTAAAGCAAACTCAATATTATAGCTGTGCAGCTTTGTCAGGAGGAAGCCAACCTGTGGTTTCCATTAGATCTTTGGATCCCACTTCAGAACTTGAAGGACTCCAAGGAAAGTTTAGAATCACAGATCTTTTCCATCCTCCTATCTTCCATATGAAAAAAAGAGACCTGAAGTGACTCACTCAAAGGGTCACAGCTAATTAGTAGCAAAACTAGGATTAAGATCCCAAATCCTAACTAAGCCACTTTATTATCTCAAGAGTTTTTTCTCTAATATGCAGATTTATGGGAAGCCCTTACTTATTCATAATATGTAGTTAGTAATGCCTGTACAGTTTAGAGCTTGAAATTACAATAATAATAATAATAACAACAACAACAATAAATGCTCCCTAAAGATACCCTGTGGAAATATATCATCACCTGAAGGTGTTAATTACTATCTTTCTTTTTATGAGTATTTTTTTTTAAAGATTTTATTTACTTATTTGAGAAAGAGAGACAGAGAGAGAGAGGGAATACAAGCAGGGGGATCGGGAGAGGGAGAAGCAGGCTTCCCGCTGAGCAGGGAGCCCGATGCGGGGCTCGATCCCAGGACCCTGGGATCATAACCTGAGCTGAAGGCAGCCGCTTAACCACTGAGCCACCCAGGCGCCCCACTATCTTTCTTTTTAAAAAGATTTGGTAAAGGAGTAATTCAGGTGGTAACAAGTAGACTATACTGTAATTGGAAAGAAAACATGTTAAACTCTTGCAAGATGAGAAATCATCCTGGAAGGGTCTTAGACCAAAATCTTCCCTCTCTTAGGCTCAGTTTATTGATTTGTAAAATGAGGGGTTTGGGATAAACTAGATAATATCTAAAATCTTTTTGGCACAGACATTCTGAACTTTGAGGGCCTGGCTTGTTGCTAAAATAGTGTCTTCAAGTAAAAGGGCAGCCAGTTACCACAAGTATTTGCCCTAAGGAGGTACTAAAAATTGTGTAGCTGACTAAAGAAGGTAAGAGAGATTACTCGGTGATTTCAATTTACCCTAATAATTCTTCAGATTTATTCTGGGGTTTAGTGCCACTCTGCAACTCAAATTTATGACGTTGAGGAAGATGAGCCAAATAGTACAGTTGGAAATAGGTGAGAAAAGAGAAACGTAGAGAAGAGAAAGCACAGGTGAGAGCTGGACCAGCTGGGCTAATGGATAGTGAGGAATCTCAGGCTCTGGGAAGCACGGAACATGTAAATGACTGAGTCAGGGAGGCTTAGTCAGTGGTAAAGACTGTACCACATTCTTCAGAATAAGACTTTTTCAAGGTGTTTATCAGGTATATTAAGGAGAAAAGCTGTGAATTTCCCAAATACAGTTTTGAGTGTGAGAATTATGTTAGGCTATTTAAATCATTTAAATATCACTTTCTTAAAAGTTATTACTTTCCCCTACTCCTTACCCCACTTCTTATACATTATTAGCACTTTGGAGTGCTCTGTGATTTATTGTGTAGTAAAAATAAAAAGGACAGAGTGAAAGGATAAAAGGAAATGTCAATTGCCACCACTGAATATTTGCAACAGATAAAAATTCTTTTGGATTCGGGTGCGCATACCCTTAAATCAGAACGTGGTTGATCCCTGTTTCATGCCACTTTAAGGGCTGATCACTAAGTCAGTGTTCTCTAAGTCCAAATTACTTGCAGAAGCCAATTCTAGACATTTGGAGCAGCTGTCTAAAAGGAAGTCCTAAGTTTGGGAACCAGAAGACCTGGGATCTTGTGGTTCTGGCCACAAAAATACATGAGTCCTGGAGTAATTGCTCTCGGCCTTAGTTTCCTCATTATTAAACTGAAGGGCTTGGAGGAGACGGACTGAAGGTGCCCACCAGTATTCCATGCTTCTCTCAGTTCTCTACTCTGAGGTTGGGCGCACCATCCTATGCTGTTCTCCTAAGCTGGGCAGGATGCAGGAACATTGTGGGATTGTGGTCTAGCATGGAATCTCTGCTTCCTGAGCCTTTGCCAAAGCAGTAAGTGACTTTTTGTCTACTAATTAAGTGAGAAATCTTGGAGGAGATCCAGTGGCTTTCTTACCAAGCTTTCCAGTTCGTAAGTATATTAATGAGGCAAATAAGAAAATCTGGGAAAATTCTGATATTTCAAATTTAATGCTGTACTAAAAATGTCTCCAGTATACCAATGCCTCACTGTGCTCTTAGACATTTAATGCATATATTCATAGGTAGTTTCCCATCCACACCATGCTTCCAGGAAATGCAAGTAACTACTGAATGCCAAGTACCCTATTAAGCTCATATAACTCTGTTGATGCTTGTCATTCAGAAGAGAGGCAAGGAAAGGAGGAGGAAAAAGAGCAAGACAAAGGAAGTGAAAGTCAAGTACAATTTGTTGTGGCCATTTTCTTCCTCCCTAAGGACTTTGCTATCTGACCTTAGTTAGTTTTTGAGGTCAAAAGTACTCTGATTAAATAATTCTCCAGACCCCCTCCACTTTACTTTGCTGTTTAGGATTCTTATTCAGCTCAAGCAGACCTTATATTGTCTAAGGAAACCCTTAAGAATTTTAACCTGAGAAGCTGTGGTCTAAAACAGAGCTAGCCAGCCTTATTTCTCTCAACCTAGCCTAACTTATGGTCACCAGGACTTGCATAACATTCTCAAAATAAAAGCAATTTGAGTTTTCTTAAACTCAGAATTGATATTTCTCACAACACTTTCAGAAAGTTGAAATAAAGGGGAAAGAGTTGAAAGGTCAAAAGAGCAACTTTAAAAATTTGGGGAGCCACTTTAGAGAAACTTCCAAACTTAATTTTTTGGGGGAGGACGGCTAAAGGTTTGCCATTGAGACACAGAGTTGCAATTCCCATAAACTTCCTCTTGTGCTTCTAATGGATGACATTCAACATAATAAACTTCATTTTTACACTTAGAGGAAAGTATTGTATGCTT